AGGAGTCGAACAGTGACAGTGCAGAATGGGAGCTTGACACGTTAACCACTCGACCACATTGCCACGAGGGCAGATGTGAATTTCAGGGAAGGTCAGGCCTTTTGCTATATCATATTCTTGGGTGGGATTGCCGATGAAGCAAACGTATATTTGCTATAACAATCGACCACGTTACTTATTTTCGTATTTGAGTAGAGTTTCGAGACTACCAGTAAATCAGTAATATGAAAGATATTCACCCTATTTCGTCTAAGGTGATTTTAGACCGAAATTCCACTCTTCACCATAAAAGTAAATAGTATAAGAGCACAAGGATAGAAAAAGAAGAACGAAAGCTTAATAGAGATTTTATCGATCAAACATACTAAAACATGGATGTTCGGCATAAACATGAATTGTTGAAGTTACGTTCCAAAGTGATGGCATCTTCTTTTTTACTTCCATGGAATTCCACAAAGTTGAAGCAGGAGTTTCATGTAGTCTCCGCTGGTATCCGCCCTGATCCAGGACTCCAGACTTTCACCAGTTAATTGCAGAAAATCCTCCATAATCTCTTTCAGGTCAATCTGAAAGTGTAAATAACATGAAGATAAAGAACAAGTAGCATTGTATGTGTTGATGGTTCTCCTGTACAAAAAATCAATTTTAGCTATTTCTATAGCACCATCTTCAGACCACCGATTGGACCCTCTTTTCACTAAGAGAGCACATGATTACGTTGTCTAAACTATAAGTCATGAAAGGATTAAAAAGGGACAAGGGTTCTCATTCACTTTTGTAAGGGGACTTCGGTAGTCCTTTCCCTTGGGAGCGAGTTCAGTGAAGAGGGTCTCGGATTTATATCAAGACAAGATCGGTGTGGGAGAATGACCGGCCAAGTACAGAGCTCCAGACGGTTGCACGAAATATCGCCCAGCGTACTGAGGGTCAATACCAAGCTTGGTCGGATCCTCTTCCGTTGCTGAGAGCAAACAGCTGCTCGCGTTGGCGTCCTGCAGGGCTTCACGGTCTATGTGGATTGGAGCAACCACTGTTCCAACAGAATTCGTAAAGATCTGAAGTAAGTAGATCTCGAAATTATCAGTAGCTCTTGAACCGGAACTCGAGCCAGCCCAGCTCGTTTGAGATGATTTTTGCCTGATAGTTGAAGTTTATGAAAGACTCATGAAAGTCGGCGTGAAAGACATTTTGACACCTTATACTCGTTTCATTGGAGGAAATTCAACTACCAGTCCCACATTACTGTAAATAAGCTAGGATAACTCGAGCTAATATTCGCCCTTATCGACACCGTTTCTCATAGACAACAAGGAAGACCTATGTTGGACCAATTAAGTGCTGGGCTAGTAATGGGTTTTCCTCCCTGGCAATTTCGAGGACAGAGCCGTTCTGTGGTAGGCTAGACATTCCTTTACGTTAGGAGAGTATAAAATGCCCTCTCCATGCCTATCACATGTTGCCTAATTGGCCACTTTTGGGCATTCGAACCCAATTCTAGCTAGAGGGTGGGGCTAGTTGTTTTAATTATTGTTAAAGCAGCAGACCCTAAACTGGACAGAATTTCCGTGGGGTACTTGAAAATGGTAATTTAGGAAGATTATTTTGTAAGAGACTGTCTGAGGAGCTTGTTGAAATGCCGTTAGGTCTCGAGGCTGTCGATGATACATTGAATGCCAGAAAATAAATTGAATTTTCCCATAATGCTATGAGTAGGTTTCACGATACCCATTGACTTTAACATAACCTTGCTTCCGAAAAGGTATTCCCATCCAGGCTGTGCCTAAGGTTTCATCTGGCCTATGCCGCATCAGCACCCCCAATAGGAATTGAATTCGAGTGGTGTAGTGGGGTAGAAACGTGTGAAAAATACGCATCTCAACACCCGAATTCGATTCCCGCTTGGAGTGCTAATAAGGCCCAGGCGAGGTGGACATTGCAGTCCAGTCAACCCGGGATGAGAATACCTTTTGGGAAGCAGAGCTAGGTGAATAAAATGCCATTAAAGCTTACTCATATAAGTGTGGGAAAATTCTAAATATATTCATTTAACACTTAGGGTAAGTAAAGATTTTAGCCAAAATTTTATGTTCGTTTTGAAATTTAGTTAACACCAAGATTCGGAGACATTGTTTGTAACTTCCATTTCCTTGTCAATTTAAAGACAGTAGCGGTTATTCTCTTAACTCTTTCCTCGCCATGGCATAATAAACCCAGACATCCTTCAAATAAGTCTAGTTTGCGCTTTTATAGCATATTTCCTAGTGGCTGAACAAAGTGTCATTACCAACGCCTTGAGGAGCTTAAAATGGAGCACAGACAACAGCACGTGTTTCCGAGGTAGGAAGAGAAACATGATTTATTTACATCGATAAAAATTGTGACCATATCTTCTCCCCTAGCTACATCACTTTGATCCACTTACATGCATGTAGGACAAGCATACGACAACCAAAAAAATCGTGTAAGGTCTCATTAAAATCGCAAAGTGAGGTATACGAAGTAAGTATGATCTCAGCTGGCCATCTTTCTTGGTTTAGATTTTTTGGTGATTGTTCGTGAATAGTGTTTTCTGGCTTTGGCGATGGCCGTCACAGCACGGAGTCATCGGGGTCGTAAGACGGTGAGCCGAGATCTTCTTCGCACAATTCAACAGACAAAAGTCCAAGGCAACCCTCCTTCGGTGTCCAGAGAGGCCAATCTACGAAGCCTTTCCACCGGCATTCTCAAACGATATGAAAGTTCAATTGCGAGTTTAATTTTTAGCTTTTATGTTAAGATCAGTTTACAACTGACAAAAACGTGTGGATAAAATAGTTTTTCATGTCATTCTTCCATCTATAGTGCCGAACCAAATCTGTGTGAAATGTCTACCATAACTCAGTAGAGGAGAAACAATGCCATGATGAAGGCGTATTGTTATGATGAAATTCCGGAGTCTCACAGGTCTTTGTGGGCCTCATCTCCAAATAGGCGCAACCCCATCTTGGATAGTACTTATTCTGGGGGATATTTCGTCGGTGAAAACTTTCCAAAGTCTGAACAACCGTCTACTCGAGAGTAAAAGCTGTTTTTCGTAAGGTCTGTAAACAAATCCCATATGATAATGATATAGGAAAAAAATATCTAAGGTATGAGGGAATAAGAAATACCTTACCTCACATCTTGAGGCGATAATTCGAATCAATGTGAAATCATCAGTTCCTCCTCCTTTCATGCAATTCCTGAGACATTTTGCAAAGCACATTGATCGATTCGAACAGGAAAGCACTAGAAGTTGAGGAATACGTAGAAATTTACTTTATGGCAAGACATCTATTTAACAGAGATTAGTTTAAAAAGAGTTAAATATAGCGCATTAATGCATTTGGATGATCTAAGAGAATGCCTTACTCACAAATAAACATTTCAACAATCAAAAGCAAGGATGAGTGTATCAAAAGTGGATGTATCTAAAAGAATCAGACAACTAATGGATTCAGCCTGGTTTATTCCCAAAATATATCTGTAGAATCAAGTCATATTTAAAGTCTCTCCCTAATTATTGGTCATTGAAATTTCCGATCTAAACCAGAATACAAAAAGCAACTTTGGAATATGGTCAATATCAAAAAAAGAATCCATCGGCGACAGAGAATATCTAAAGTCGCGTTCCAAAAGAAGTCATTCGAATTTTCATTTTCATTATACAGTCCACCTGAGAATTTCGCAGAAGAGAAATAGGAAATAATTTCTATTACTTTTACAAAGTTAACATCTGATAAAAATAAACAAACCAACTCTCAACATATCTCTTCTATTTCAGATTCAGTGATTTTAATTAACCTGAGCAAAATTAGCCTGTTTGTGCAACATAAGTCCCTCCCACGTTTTGAGATCTTCTTATGCTTGACACGGTAGTTATTAATAGACAAGGACGAATTTTTGAAAAAAGCCGAGCGCAGTCAAGTAATTTGCTTTAGAATAAGCACAATTCGTAAAAAGCGCCGCGAGAGTACTGAGCCACCTGCACCACAGTGTCAAAGAAACTTTTAGGATGAGCACACTTCACAAAGCAGGTCAAATTCCCCCTTGTGCTCTGGAACTTGTCCCTCTGACTATGGCAAGAATCGCTACAAGTAGGATCGTGCGGCCCCAATACATTCATAATTAATTCATCCGGAGCGTAACACATTGAACCGAAGAATAGCTAGATTTGATTGAATACTTCCCAGAGTTCGTAAGAACATCCAGAGAACAAAAGCCAACTCCATGCAGTAAGTGAAGCAAAATCGTTAAAGCTAGGAGTCTGCTAAATAATAGTTCTATCGTTTGATGAGTTTCAGCATGAAAAGATGGTTAAAAAATATTCTTTGACCGAAGGAAGGCAAGTCAAAGACTGACAAAACCAAACGACGACCTTGTCGAATTAACTCAGGCCAACTCTGAGGCAAACCCCATTCTCATTTTAAAAGAGCTAGCAAATGTTTCCTATCAGCTCAACTTTTAGGATGAAATGAACCAAACGATGAAATAAGCAAAAATATCTCCTATAAAAGCGACTAGTAATATATCTTTTTCAAGCAATATCTTCTAGTCGGGATCAATTGACATTAAATGAAAAGTGTATCCGGAACATTCTGGAAACCTGTCATAGTAGGGTGCTTGCCGTGCTAGTAAGTCTTGTTGAATGGACAAATCTGGTATGAATGGCCTTCAGCTCGAGAGATCAAAGTTAGAACCAATTAAAAATAGAGGCTGGAAAATAATTATTTATCGTCGTTAGTAATAGACGGTTTCGCATCTATCAACATTTAGGAGCGTGTGGTGTAATGAAATTAAATGCACAAACCAAGCCTTTTCTTTAAAGGTTTGGGTTCAGTCGTCATTGCTCTAATAGCACAATTCGAAATGTTTACACATCAAAATATTTCCGCATAACCTGGAAGTTTAAAGGATGGCGTTTATACAGTTATAGAGAAAATTAATTATGTTTAGTCTTTTTGACATACCTAATGTTTTAAGAGCAGTTTTGAAATCGCCGGACATTTCACTTTTAATGGCAGCAACCAAAGGAGTTCCGTATTTCTGAAGCGAAAAATGTTTAAGAGGACTAAGGTTAGGCTTGTTTGTAAAAAATGCATTAAAACAATCAGAAAGATATTGTTTTCAGGTCAATTTTTCTAGAGGTATCTTCCAGCGAGTAATAAACTCAGCTCATATTAAAGAGTGAAGTTGACACAAAGATGCGACAAATATATGCTCTGAAGGCTCAACAGATAAATGATTCTCCGCAAATGTTTTAGCCTCAGATGGGAGAGCAGTTTAATTTGCACCGCCGGATGGAAAGGAGATCGGTTTAAACAAGTGGCTTCACTCGTCACTTTCATAAGTCTGCAGGTCAAGCTTTCGATAAGACGGCCCCAGCATCAACGAACTAAAGAACGCATAACTTTCAGATCAGATAAGGTCAGGTACTGACAGAAATTGGACAGGGTGAAGTAATAGGCCAGTTGGGCCAAGTTCCTATGAGAGAAAATGTAATCCCAGATTAAGCTGTAAAAGCAAGACACCGCTTTCTAACTAAAGGAGGGTGGTGAAACTATTGAGGTACAGAACCCAAAGGTCGCCCTGAGAAACCTTTGATACAGGATTTAGTTACTACACATGCTAATACAGAGATTCATAGCAGTTTGAATAATATCAAAAAGTTATTAGGAGGACTTGATCAGCACGGTTTTTATGACGCCAAAAATGATATATGAAAGCCTAGATGGGCTTCTCGTAAATTGAACTCACATCTTCGTATAATTTTGCAGTCAAAGCGACTTCGAAGACACTGCAGTGACAGAGCAACTCGACGAACTTAGACTCATCCGTTCCCAATTT